TTATGAAGGTAAAAAGGGCTCTCAAGTTAGGTATTGATTGATGCCTAGCTTGATATTGAAGTCTTTATTTGTCATTTCATATAGTCAGAAACAAATTGGGTATTTGTCAAATAAAATTAATGACAATAATCCACCTAATTGACAAAATTTTTCTTGACATTTTTAAAATAACAAAAATCTTCATTCTATTTAGTTTTAAGTATTAAAATATATGGTTAGAAGGAAATTAGGTAAATATTCATCAACTCATAATATATAATTTTTAATGACTCACTAATGATAGAAGAATTTTATTATTTAATAAAACATCAAAATGTCCATGTAACCTTGTCAAATATTCCAATATAAGTTATAAGGATTTGTTAGATTGTGCTTTTATACACTTTAATAACTTATAATTCAATTAAGATAAAGGATTAGGCTATTGTAACACAATTTTTTTGCACCAATTTATTACATATATATTCTATGGACACAAAATGTTTTTAAAATTTTATTAAAAATCCCTCCTAGATAGATATTTTTAATAATTTTTTTTTTCAAGAAAGTTGGATGAATATTGTTATTTCTTAAGTTATGAAAATACAGTAGTCAAACTTTTTTTTTTTTTGAAAATAAAAAAACCTCATGTTCATAATAAATAGCTTTCAGCTAAAGGAAAAATATGTCTCATCTTTAGATGACTAAGGCCTTGTTTGGATTGAGGGATTTAAAAATCCATGGATTGTTGATTCAAATTTTCATGCACTTGTGTTTGGTAATACTACATAGGTAAAATTTGTATATAACAAAGTGACAGAGCTCTATTTTTTATTATTATTTTTTTTGTATAGAATTTATATATATACTATCACTCATAGTCATAAAATATTGTATTTTTTATTATCTTATTTATTAAACATTTATTTTGGTGACTTATTAAGTTACACTCTTTAATTAATTAACTTAGGTTGCATATAGGTGTAATAACTCTTTCTAGCTACTATACTTTGAGAAATATAATATGAAATCACTAAATATATCATGGAAAATATAAATGTATTTCAGAACAACATAGTGGGCCCAAAAATTTATTTATATTAACAAAATAATCATATACATAATCTCAAAATACAGTGGACAGTAGTGTCATTCCCCTCCGCTTCTCGACGTTCCATCTGACCGCTTCTCACCTATTTCCTGCAAAAACATTGAAAACAACGGGGTGAGCACTAGTTGCTCAGTAAGTAAATCCGCTATGCTATTCTCCCATCTCCGTTGCTCATATTCTGAATTTCTTTCCTTACATCACATTTCTCTATTCTCTCTGCTTTTTCTCTATTCTTTCTCTGTTTTAATCTCTCACTTTTCACTTCTCATGATAGTTGGCATGGTGTAATGCTTAAGTATGATGCAAATGCACAAATGCATAAGATATGCATTTTTCTTTTTGTTTTTCTATTTCTTATTCTGTTTTTCTTTCTTCTCTGTGCTTCTTTCTTTCTATTTCTCTTCTTTCTTTCTATTTCTCTTCTTTCTTTCTTATTCTTCTCTTTCTATTCTTTTCTTTTCTTTCTTAGTCTTCTCTTTCTATTCTTTTCTTTTCTTTTCTTTGCTTTCTTATTCTCTTCTTTTATTTCTATTCTTGTCGATCGGACTCAGTTGAGGTATGGATTCGTAACCCTAGTCAGGTGAGTGAGTACAGTCCTCATCTACATGCACTTCTTACGGACTGTATAAATTCTTCTTCTTCTTATGCCGCTCACTAAAGGCAGCGTGCATGTAGGTATATTCTTCTGGGTATAGTCCTCATCCATATACACTCTTACGGACTATACAAATTCTTATTCTTATTCTTAGGCCGCTTACTGAAGGCGGCATGCATGTGAGAATATTCTTCTTCTTGTCACTCACGGATTCTCCATCATAACAACCTTCTTTTCTCTTAACTTTCTTTTAGAAATTAGTATTCAATTTCTTTTCTTTAATCATTCTCTTTTCTTTCTTTGCTCTTTAATATTCTTATATGCATGTATGCATATAGATGGGTTTTTCTTATTGATGATTAAATGCAAAGATGCAATATGGCATGTAAACATGTCATTCTCTCCTTCCTCTACCATCTACAAACTCGTATCAAAAAAAAAAAAAATTCAACATACTCAATTACTCATACATGCACTTCTCTATGAAATTTCATCAAACACTTTGCATGCACAAATAAAGCACTAAAGTGATTACACTTTCATAAGAATCTCTAACTACCAAAATTTTGGAGCAAAGCTCCCTAAAAACAACTCCAAACCTGGCCAGGAAAATAAACTCCATAACTCTACTCAAATTCTTTCTTAGCTCATACAAACTTCCATTCTATAAACACAATCATCACTCCTCATGGTGGAATTCTAACCATGAATCATCATCAATTCCATCATCAATTTCATCATCAAATCTCAACACTCAAGCACATAAAGTACATATAAAACTTTCTCTACACACAATTTTGCTCAAATCAAGGGCTAGGGTTGGATTTACTTACCTTGAGTTTGGGTAGTTCCACATTAGAATCTCTCTCTTTGGTAGACTTCCTCTTCTTCTTAAACCCTAAGCATATAAACTATACGAATTCAACACTTTAAAAAATTAGTCTCACATCTTATTGCTAGAATTCTTTCCTTTGGATGCTTAGGATTGAATATCTACCAAAATCCAACCAAAAATCCTCTAAATTGCCTTGGAAATTTGATGAAGAAATTGAGAGAATTTCGGGATGAAAGTGGCGTGTGAGGGAGTAGAGAATGATAGGGTTTTCATTCTTGAACCCACCCTTAATATCTCATTTATTACTTATAACTTTCCCATTTTACCCTTGTACTTTCTATGAAATTCCATCTTTGCCCTTTATTTAATTACAAAAATACCCTCATTTCCATTACATTCTCCATGAAATTCTACTACTTTTGACTCCCCACATTTACAACTAATTGTGGGTGGAATGACCATTTTGCCCTTAAGGAAGTTTTCCCCAAATTCAGCAAAATTTCCAAAGAGTTCTTCGCCCCAGCGAAGCTACATTTTTCTGCCACGAATTTGGGCAGAACGTACAATGCCGCGGCGAAGTCTGCAACACTTGCCTCAAGCCAATTTTCATGCATACTTCTTGGAATAAAGGCATAAAGGCATTAAAACATAAATAGAATTATATACCTCAATGTGGGTGTCACAATAGGTATAGCTATTTACAAGGCTTTTATTTTATTTCCATGTTCTCCTTTTGCCTAACTATGATTTCATCTAAGTTTAGATTGCTCAAATGTTAATTTTCGTGAATTATAAAGTTAATTTTAACATAAACACATATTAATTGTTCACGAGTAAATTAACAAGTTAATATTTACATACAAAAATTTTCAAGCCAAAAAGTTCTAAACATGCTTGAGAATGTATAAATATTTTGGCTTCAACAAGAAGATAAAAATTTTCATACCTGCAAGTTAAAAGATATTGTAACAACTCTAGGGCATAAATTATTATTCCAAACAATTTTAGATAAATATTTTATTTCATCTTAAACATTTAATATAACATAACATGTATTTTTTTTTTTGCAATATACATATAATTTTAGATCAGCATTACATTTACAATTTTTTCATACAACCTGTTATGACGGTTAGTGATTGTTCAACTTGCAGTGGGTCTTGCTTGCCTAAATGAGAGATCAATCATGAATTGACACATCAGGGTTATATAAAAAAGTTGTATAAAAAAGTTATAAGTATAGTTTTATTGTAATCAGGCAACTTTTTTAAGACGGGAATTAAAAAAATTATAACTTATTACAATACAGAGTTTATTATTATTTATAACTATCTCAAGTTGGGACTAGAATTTTGTATGATTACTGGTTATTCTTATATAGGGTATCACTATAGAAATGTTTTAGCGTGAAACATAAAAATTTATAGTATATTAGATCTCTTTAAGTTGTATTTCAATATCTTAAAAATATTTGTTTTACAATTTTTTTAATTTAATATTTAAAATTAGTAGTTTAAAATTGAAATCTAAGTTTTAGATCACGTGACAATACTACACTAATTATCTAATACTGTAATAATGTGATAAGCAATATTAATTTACTATAATTATGCATTAGTATATTAATTAACTAATTAATTAATAATAATATAAACTAATATTCCAAATTTACTCAGAGTTAAATCCTTTTGGTCCCCGTGGTATGGCCTACATAGGATCCAGTAGAATCTGATAGTAACATTATCGTCTTTGTTAGGTATAAGTTTTTGAGTAATGTTACAGTCACCGGGAGTAATGCACCGAATGACGTGACTGAATCCTGACCATCGATTAATATTAATTTATAATTAATAGACGATTAGGATTTTGTTACGTCATTCGGTGCACAGATTCGGTGCACTATTCCTGCTCTCTATTATTTTCCTAAGTTTTTTGAAATATGTTTGAAATGGCTAAATACCCTTAATTTGGTAATAAAAATTTTTCTTATAAATAATGGAATTTTCTAAATTCTTACCAGAATTCTCAATTAGCAGCCATTATTATTTTTTTTTTATAATTCTATTAATATTTTGATTTCATCTACATGAGAAAAAATTTTATAAAAAAAAAAAAAATTGAAGGCCGCTACCTCACATCACATACAAGGATATTACCATCCGATTCTACCGGACTTTCATAACTAAGGCCAAACCTTAGGGACCAAAATGTATTTAACTACTCTTAATAACTGCGGATTATGCAAATGATCACTCGTTCTGGCCCACAACGAACTCATCAAAGTTTAAGTTTACTCGAGTCTCTGATCATCAAGTTCTTGCATCCACCGCTGAAGATTCAAGATCTTTTCCGTCAAGAATCTTCATTTCTTTTTCTGCACCCTTTTTTATTTTAACTTTTTTTCGCCTTATCCAATTTCTGGAATCTTCAAAAAGATATCTTTAAACCCTTTTCAATATACTTGAACAAACTATCCTTTTTACTTGTTTTTCTATCTTTTAACTCATACCCATTTCGTCTTCTTCTCTCATCCTGAAGTTGAAGCCAAAGGTAGAGTCTTTCGCTCTTGTTTTCCCCTTTTAATTGACAAGTTTTGATTTTTCTATATGGGTTTTAGTTTTAGAGGAGTTTTTGGTACTGTGGTCTTTACGTTTGTTGGTAATGCTCTTAAGATTGTTAAGTTTCTGTCTTTGGTTGTTTACTACTTGTAAGCAGTTGGGTTTGAACAAAATTTTCTACCCAAAAATTTAAGTTAACGTATTGGGACTAGCCGCACTGCTAAAGTGTTAGTGTCATACCTAAAATAAAATGAATTTGGAATCATTAACTCTCATGAACAGTGATATAATTTAGCAATTGGTGTTTCAAATATTTAGAATTTGGCTCTGGTATTTAATTAGACTTCTGCAGAAGAAAATAAGCTTATAGGTAAGGGGCCTTTGTATAGAATAAATAGGCATATCATAAGAGAACTTAACTAATGTGGGATAACTGTATTGATATTTGTTGTTGATGGTGAGATTGTCATGTTGATGGAAAATTTTTATGTGTAGCGGGCGCATGAGCTTGTCATGGTACTATTTTATCATGCTTTCATGTTAGTGTGGCATGTTTTTACTGTGTGAATTTAGCAAAAGGATATGTAAACAGTTGTATAGGAATTTAGGATCATTAAAGAGGACATAGTCTTAACTGCTTTGATGGATTTTTGGTACTAAAGAATGGGAAATGTGATATGTTGATTTAATTTAAAAAATGTGGAATGTTAATTTGTAGCTGATATTGAGTTAATATGCTATGTAGCTGGCAACTTTTGTCGGCACAGAAATTTTAGGTCTTGGTTTAATTCAATTAATTATTTTTATAAAGGTATAGTATTCTCGTGTGAAGAATACATGGTGCCAGTTGCTGCAGAATTACATGGAAAACTGTAGCTAAGGATTGGTAAACTTGGGCTCTTAGGATTCTGAAGATGAGTTGTTCATTCCAGTGATCTCTATGTTGATGATGAACAAAACCTAAATTTTCTGCAGTTTGGAATAATTGATCATATCTGTGAGTTTATTTTTCAGGGAAATTATGTCCCGGAAGATGTGACAGAAGAACTCTTTGACAAATTCAACCTTTTTTGAGGTAATAAGGTGCTGCAAGCATTGAATTTTTCATTTTTGATATCATAAGTAAATCATGAGTTTGGGACTATTAATATTTTAAGTTTCGGAAATAATCTTATTCAATCTCCAATTATATTTCTCTTAAGAACATGTTAGGTTTTATTGCATGAAATACTCCTTTTACTGCCTTATTAGATGCGATCATTTTTTTTTTTTTTTTTTTTTTTTGGGTTTATGAATCGACTGTCAGATGGTCTCTTCCTCTATACTGTTTGCTTTTGAACAGAACCATAGTTTAGAAGGTGATTGTTGTTCATTCTGAAGACAATGGAAACCAATGGTAGTAATTCTCATTCCCATGAAAATCAGACTTCAGAGGTTCCCAATGATGCTAGCAAAGGCAGTTCAACTGAGAAAGTGGTCTTTGTAAATCATGGTAGGTTGCTTTTTAAAAATTGAACATTACCCTTGACGGTGTATCTCTTTCTTATGAATGGATATATGCTCCAGTGATGAGTACTACTCTTTGATTGATTCTAAAGGTAGCCATCAAATGCTTTAAAAGACTCTAGCCAGGGTCTAAATTAGGTTGACAGAATAGTCTATAACATGATCAAACTTTTTCACTGAGCTTAGCTTTTCTTTGCGCATAATGATTTCACTTAAAAGTATTTTAATAAGTATCTTGATTAATTATTGACACCATTGACATTTTAGCATTTTTTTTTTTTTTTTTTTTGCGATATACTCTCACAAAGCCACTTTTAAGAATAATTTTTCCTCACTGTTTCTCTTCTTAAGAGACTTCTGGTTATGCTTTTGTTCATTGAATTGATTTGAATGATCATACTATTCAGCCGAGATAGCTTGGCATGAGAGCAGGAAGCAGTGGATTGGTGTTCAGTCTCAAAATTCAAAGAGGTTACCTAGAGAACCAGTTATGAGGTATATTGCTTGTTCCTTTAGGTACTGCTGGCACGCATCCATTCAGTTCATAGCCAAGAATTTGTCTTTGCCACCATTATTTCTGGTTTCTTAAGTTTATTTACTTATACTTTAAGCTTTTATATACAAGCGGATATAATCATGATCCAGATCTTAGGAATTTTGCAGTCTTATGATCACACATTTAATAACGACTTTGGTTGCCTCAAAAATTGATTGGATCACTGAATTATACCGGTGGTTAAATTTTTATTTGCTCTTCTGTAATCTGCATGTTAGGACCAGTTGTAAGAGATCTACTTTAATGGACATTCGTTAATATATTAACTCAAAAGAATGTTCTCAAAACGATCTTATTAACCTTATTATTCTTTTGTCCTTAACTTTGAGGTTTGTTCTATAAAATATTGTTAAGATCTCTAATATCATCAGTTGTTATTCTTGATCTGATCTGAGGAGTACAGTCATTTCAATGGAGTATCTGTGAGTGTCAAGTGGGTTGCATTTGTATTTGTCTAGGAATAGGAGGATAGGGTACTTATACATTTACTTAGTAAACCACTCTGAAGCCTTGGGGAAAAAGAAAATAACATTAAAAAAACTTCATTTCAAAGGAGGAGATATATGTAGAAATTATTAAGAAACAGCATATGAAACCGTTTTCAAGTTGACAATTATTCATCCCTGATACTGATAATTTTTCATCGTTAAATAGTATTTAATCCAAATGGTCTCTTGTGAAATATCCAAATTACTTACACAAACTTAAGTTTGGTCTGGGGGTTGCATGAAGCCCTTGTTTCATCTCGTCTTGTCATGCAAACTTTTTCGCTGTGGTTGCAATCATACTTCAGGGAATGGGAGTGTCTCCGATGAGCAATTAGTGATTTATATTCTTGTAAAGAGCATACAGTCTGCTTCCTGATGAAAATAATTGTTGAATCTTCGTTTGCAGCTGGACCACAACTTACGAGGACTTGCTTTGTTCTACTGAACCTTTTCAACAGCCAATTCCACTGGGTGTAAGTTTTCTTTAGGTAGCGCCTTCTAAGTTCTCATCTTGTAGGAAAGTGTTGATATTTACATACTCTCATTTGGTGGAATTGCAGGAGATGGTGGATTTCTTAGTTGACATCTGGCATGAAGAAGGCCTCTATGATTAGTTAAAGTTTCTTGAGGTGATTGCACAGTTTTGTTTGTGCAGATTGACGAAACAATCTCATAGGTTATACGGACTCTTAATCCTGAAAATTGATTAAGAACATATGATGTAGATTACAGTGACGTTTAGAGGATTATGATTTTTAGGTGATTCCTCTTTATTACCAAACAATTGTATAGTCAACAAAGTTTCTTAAATGAGATTGTTTCTGTTATGGATTTTCGAGGGTTTTGATTTTAAATGCATAACCTGAAAGATTTCTTTAAGTAAGGCTGTTTTACGATCTTGTTAAAACCGATTATTTGATCTAGTTCAAAATTTTTGACATATTGTTGGGCTATTGTTAGGGTTACACGAGTTTGGCGTTTAACGTAATACCAGACCAGTGACGCCGGACTGTAATTTGATACGTGAAGTCGAATGAGAAGAGTTTAAATTTTTAAGGTTGAACTTCAATGTGATGGATGATGTAATGGGTTCCTATAAAAGGAACTTAAAACCAGCTGACTGTGTTATTTGAAAGTATGTATCTTGTGAAAAGGCTTCCCGTTGGAAACTCATCAATACTAGTTCTTTTAGAATCCTGCAAATCTCTCAAACAAGCCCTTCAAATTCATGCTCAAATCATTCTCAATGGTTTTCACCATAACATCTTTTCCGTGAGCAGACTCATCTCCACTTTTGCCTTATGGGGTTCCAAAGACGGTCTTCGTCACTCTCATATACTTTTCTCACAAATTGATAAGCCAAATATTTTTATCTGGAACACAATAATCAGAGGCTACTCTCATAGTGAAACATCTCATCAATCACTTGTCCTTTATATGTCCTTGCTTTCCAGAGGAATTGAATCCCCAAATAACTTCACATTCCCATTTCTTCTTAACTCCTGCGCCAGGCTCTCAAGCCTTAATCCGGGTTTTCAGATTCATTGTCATATAATTAAGTTTGGGTTCGAGTTGGATCTCTTTATAAGGAATGCTTTGATTCATTTTTACTCAATTTTTGGGTATACAAACCATGCCCGGAAAGTTTTTGATGAAAGTCTTGTTAGAGATCCTGTATCATATAATACTATGATAAATGGGTATGCTCAAGTTGAGCAACCTTGTGCTGCTTTGCGGCTGTATAGAGAGATGCAAGATTTTGATATCCAGCCGGATACATTTACTTTCGTAGCTTTGTTTTCTGCGTGTTCAGTATTGAATGATCCTAGGATTGCAAAGCGGATTCATGCTTTGGTTTATAAGAATTTGAGTTGTGTTGATTCTAATATGTTGCTTAAGACAGCTGTTCTTGATATGTATGCTAAATGTGGGTTGATGAATGTTGCTGAGCGGGTGTTTGGTACAATGAGGACAAGCGAAAATACTGCAGCTTGGAGTTCTATGGTATCCGGGTATACTCGAGGAGGGGATGTTGAGACTGCTAGAAGGCTATTCGATCAGATGGATCAGAGGGACATAGTTTCTTGGACAGCTATGATTAGTGGTTACTCTCAAGCAGGACAGTTTAGTGAAGCACTTGAACTTTTTGGAGAGATGGAATCTCTGAACATACAACCAGATGAAGTTACAATGGTTGCCATTCTTTCAGCCTGTGCAGGGCTTGGTGCTTTGGATTTTGGTAGAAGGATTCATCGACAGTACATAGGAAATGAGTTATTTGGGAGAAATATCTTTGTTATTACTGTGGTCATAGATATGTATGCAAAATGTGGAAGTATAGATACTGCTCTAGATATTTTCTACAGAATACCGAAGATTTTAAAGACTGTTTCCCTCTTTAATTCCATGATTTCTGGTCTTGCTCAGCATGGTCTTGGTAAGAATGCTATAGATGTTTTCACAGAAATGGAATTGATGAGGTTAAAACCTGATAGAGTTACATTTGTAGCTGTACTGTGTGCTTGTAGCCATAGTGGCTTAGTTGAAGATGGTAAGGAGTTGTTTGAATCAATGCTGAATGTCTATGGTATCAAACCAGAGATGGAACATTATGGTTGCATGGTTGATCTTCTTGGAAGAAATGGTCACGTGGATAAAGCTTTGGATTTGATTCTGATTATGCCATATGAGGCTAACTCTATAATATGGCGAGCACTATTGGGTGCTTGCAGGCTCCATGGAAATGCAGAAATAGGTGAGATTGCAGGGCAGAAACTCCTTGAACTGGAGCCTAATCATGGAGCTTACTATGTTTTATTGTCTAATTTGCTTGCCAATACCAATCAATGGGAAGAAGCCAGAAAAGTGAGGAAACTGATGGACGATAAAGGCATTCAAAAGCCACCCGGGTGGAGCTATATTGAGTTTAATGGAACTCTTCACCGGTTCCTGGCGAGTGAAAAATCTCACCCAGAAGCTATAGAGATTGAGTTGATGCTCAAAGACATGACCATGAGACTAAAAACTACTGGTTATGTCCCAAACACAACACAAGTGGTGTTTGATGTAGATGAGGAAGAGAAGGAAACAGTAGTTTCTTATCACAGTGAGAAATTAGCATTAGCATTTGGGTTGATAAATTCCAGTCCAGAGGAAACTATAAGAATCATAAAGAATCTTCGCATTTGTGCAGACTGTCACTCAGCCTTTAAGCTCCTTTCAGAAATTTATAAAAGAGAAATCATGGTTAGAGATGCAATCAGGTTCCATCATTTCAAGAATGGAACTTGCTCTTGCATGGATTTTTGGTAGCTGTGGCATAGCTTGTTCTTGTTCTTGGCAATTGACCATTTGAAGTTTCTTTCAAGCTTAATTTTGTGTGTGCTTGTAAGCTGCCCATAGTGCAAAAAGCTTTGCATCAAAACTTTCTTGAGATGGGACATGGGATATAAAGAACTCAATTATGGTAGATTTTACAAATCTTAGTATTAGATGTTTATAATGTAGTTGTGAATGCTAGAGCCTTTGATATATCAAGAAAAAAGATTTCATTGCCTCCTAGATGTGTGAGTCATACATCTTTCATCCTTCCACTTATTCATCATAAACAATAAAATAAGGTATAAATCTTTATGATGAACCCAAAAATTAAGAGATCTTTCATTGATGCTATTCATTGACAATTTTTATTGGATAGTGAGGTATGTGGTTTGTTCTCATAAGGTTTGAGATTTGAATCTCTTCATGGGCACCTACACAACGAAAGACTATTGTTTCATAATAAAACAGTAGTTTTTAAGATTGGATTTGAAAACTGTTTTTTAAAATAATTCTACTTATTTTTACCTGTTGTGCAAATTTTAAATATACTTGCAAGCGCACGAGTCTATTGGAGTATAGAAGTGTAAGCAACGAGGTCGAACCCACGAGGACTGCTTAGCCTAGAAAATTTAATCTGATTTTAGCAAATTATATTTCTAACACTCAATGAAATTTAAAATAATGATACTACAGAGAAAATAAAGAATAACAAAAGTAATTTAGAAAATTCAAAGGATTGAAACTACCAAGGTTTTAGAATTCACCATTGTCTAACTTAGCAAATGATCTAATTAACAAATTAACTTCCCATAAATCAAAGTGACAAATCGAAATCAATCTAGGTTATCTCATGGATAAATCAATTAAACCCCAATTTAACAAATCTAATATTGGTTTTTCTTCTCTCAATTAGTCTAAGCATTCATTGTATCGATTTGGTAGAAGAAAACAAAGAATCAAAGGAATCACATTATGACCAGCATAGATAAATTAAATCAATATTCTAACTATCAAAAATACTTGATATTAATGATGAAAGAAAATATGATTCAATTATCTATATAAGCAAAAACTATAATCTATGAAGAACAAATAAATGGAAATTAATCTTTTAAAAAGAGAATCACTTCATTAAACAAAGTTTCATCCTAAACCCTGGTAAAAGAAAATTAGAAACACATGGTTGAGATTAAAGAGTCAAGGAGGATTGAACCAATAATGGACATCTTTCTTTCTTCTCCACAGCCGCCTCCTTCAATCTCCACATCCACTGCCTTTTAATCGTCCCCCTTTTTTTAAAATAACTTCCCTTTTTTTATCGCCAAAGTTCGACTAGCCTCCAGCAAAAGAGAGGGAAAGTAGTTTTTTTTTTTTTTCTTATCTTGGACTCCCAAGTTTTCTTATTAATTGCCAACTGGTACAAGGCTTCTTTTGGTTTGGCCCTCTCAAGGATTCTAATAATAAGTACTGATCCAAACTTCATTCCTCAGCCCAATTAAGTCCAGCTCTAATGTGAAGAGTCGGTTTTGCCCTCTATTCTTCCTTCTTGTCAAATCTATCCAGATTTCGTAGTCTTCAAACATGTCCAAAATCAAGCATGATAACTCCAGAATCTGACGAAGTGGTGAACATATGAATTGTAGCCCTTCGAATCAGCTTTCTAACGCTTCAAAAATCGTCCAAATCTGAAGTCTAAAACTTAAGATATCGTAAAAATACTGAAGCTTATTCTGAAACTCGCGCTTCCTACATGAATGATTGTCTCAAGTTACTTGATAAAACATTCAATAATGCAATCCATATCCAAGTTTGATAACCTAAAGAAAATCAAAGGTAAGTAAACAAAATTAATTAAAGAAGTAATAAATATGATTAAAAACAACTAACAAAATAATATTAAATCATAAATAATGAATTCAAATCATGCTCAACATTACTAAACGCATTTTTTTAAGATTTGTTGTATTTTTGTTTCCAAAAACAAAAGAACTGTATTTAAATTCTATATTAAATTGGCCGTAATAATCTTTAGAGTTTGATTTGAAGATTTTCTAAGCAAACCCAATTTGAGATGACTACGCATTTTAGTTTTCAAATTGTATTTGTAGACTTTAATTGGAGCATTTGACAAAAGGACAAGGTTATTTTCAAGGTCAAAGGTTGAATTGCTTTTAATCTTCTTGGTCTTTCTTTTGGAAATTTCTTCTCCATTTCATAATTTTCTTTTTAATAAAAAATAGTTTTAGAAGAAACATATAAAACAAATATTAGTATCTTCAATTTCTCATTTATTGTCTTATATGAAGAAAAAAAATCATATCAATATTATTATTTAATAACTTTAATTACATTATTGGTATTCAATAAACTAAACTTTTTTGGGCAGTTAAGGAGATCATGTCAATCATTAGGCAAGCATAGGATAGGAGGGATAAAAGAATATTCTTAAAAATTATATAGAATAAAAGAAAGTACCAACCAATCAAAATCAATATTTGCTTTTATATTCTTTCCAATTGTAGAGATTATTTGCCGAAGACATTCCCACAATTGAGGAAATATTTTTAATTACAAATGCCCTTATAGTTTTTTTGTTTTTTAAATATATGTAATAAGTTATTATTTTTCATAAAAATAAATAAATGAGAATGAGAACAAAATAAATGCGTCTTTTTTTGTTTTGAAAGATAAACAACTTGTGGTATCAAGAGCACATCTTCTGTTATTTATATAAATTCCAAAACCATTTTTTTGATTTCAACGGAAAATAATGAAAGAAAATTAAAAACAAAGTTTTTATATTAGTTTGAGGTTTCGTTGCAGTTTCCTATTTCTGAAGTTGTGAGTCCACGAGAGTCAGTCTATTAAAAGGTGGATTCTTAACTTGAGACGTCTGCCTTAAATATTAAAATCTTATCAATTTAAGACTACCCATTTGCTTAGTTTGATTAAATATCCGATCTTTGGAGAAATATTTGGATAGTTTTTGGCAAAAGAAACCCCATTTGGTTTTAATTTGGTATTGAGTCTTGATTTGTCAGATTTTGGTGTATCAAGGTCTATGGAGATCGATAAAGCAATCAGAGAAAGTGATGATCAGAGGCTCAAGACCAAGTACAACAACGCCATATATGTTATACGAAGAGCTCTTGCTTTGTACTCGTGAGTTTTTCATTTTTGTTTGTTTGGTTCATTTTTATTTTGTATATCTTACAGTTTTGTTATATATGAATTTAATGTAAAGGGTTTGGATTTGAGCATTCATTTGGATGAATATAGAGTTACAGAATTGAATATGGAATTCTGATTATAATGGTTTGTTTGTTTGGATTTAGAGCAAAGCAATGTGGCCTGTTGGTTCCGAAAGGTTCTCTTGACATAGATTTACATTCAAGAAAATAATTTTTTCTTGCCTTAAACTCAACCTTTAACGGTCAGTGGGCAAATTGGGATCGCTTATAGGCTCCAATCTTACCTTGCAAACATTACCCTCCTGCCATTTATGCCATCATTATCACTCGTGTCTTTGATTCTATATTGTGGTGGAGTCTTATGGTTATTTTCAGTATTCAAGTTCTCATTTCTCCTTTTCCTGAGTTTGGACTTCTCTGATATTTCATTGTTAACAGCCCATTATTCAAATGATCATTTTAAATGATCCTGAAGAGGCAGAATTATTCTTTCGACGACCATAATTTAATGAGAAACAGCCACTGGCTTCGAGCCAGACAACAATTCTCTCTTTCATGTGATGAATAATATCTTTTATCTCCATCAATCACAGGAAAATTAAGAATTTTGATATAAATTACGTATGCCTGGGGCATCCCTAATAGCTTAGCTCAATCAATTGATAGCTCTCATTGGCTGGGTGAAGCCTTTTTAATCCTTGGATTGCTGCAAATTGAAGTATTGAAGCCTGAGTTTACTATACAACAATCAGTTTTTCTGAAAAATAAAATTTTGCAATATGATCTGCCTATTTGTTAATTTTCAAGTTTGTGTTGCTCGATTATCCCTGTGTTGTTTTTCACTGAATGAGGAAATAAATGTGAACATTATGTGCTATAAAATGTATCGTGTTCTCTGTACTAGATGATGATAATCATTGTTTGTAATTATGCCCTGGTACTGAGTGAGTTTACTGATTCTTGACAAGCACTGAATTTGTTCCCTCAACAGCATTGAAGAGGTTGCCTTCAGCTTCAATGGAGGAAAGGATTCAACTGTAAGTTCACACATGTAATTTTTCTTGAGCATAACCTCAGGTTTCTTTTGTTTCACTGATAGTGACGTGGACTTTTTATTGTTTAGGTTCTGTTGCATCTACTTAGGGCGGGCTGGTTTCTGCATAAAGGGGAACAGAGTTGTTCAAATGGGAGTCTTAATAACTTTCCAATTGGGACAATATATTTTGAGAGTTCTTGTGCATTCCCTGAAATCAATTCATTTACCTATGATACAGCGAAAGTGTAAGAGAATCTGTTCCCACACTACCCCCCTAAAAATTATAAATTTAGTCAAAAATAAGGTATTTCTTTTTGAAGCCTATTGTATGGGAAAACATCTAGTTAGCTTATTGATTTTCTTACATGAGTAGATATGGTTTGCAATTGGATATCATTCGCTCAGATTTCAAGTCTGGTTTGGAGGCTTTACTAAAGGATAAACCAATCAGAGCTATTTTCCTTGGTGTCCGAATTGGTGATCCTACTGCGGTATTTGACATGTTCCATTATGAAAAGACAATTATAACTTTTTTATTTAATCTCCTATGGATTCTAAAATATTTTATACATCTTTTTTAATCTTGCAGGTAGGCCAAGAACAGTTCTCCCCTAGTTCACCTGGATGGCCAGCTTTCATGAGAGTGAATCCTATATTGGATTGGTCATACAGGTGTCTTGATCAACTATAAGCTCTTTGGTTGCCATGGCTGCTGAATCTAATGATTATCATAAGTTCATATCAAGTAGCTGATGGTTGATAATTTCATTTTGTTCTATATACTTACTTCTGTTAGTCAGTTGAGAAACACAAAGAGGCTTGGATACAACATGAGATATATGTTACTACTTTGTGTTTGCTAATGAATGCTATTATTTGATAGGATCTATTCATGGAAAATTTGAATTTGCCACTAATTGCCAACTCACTGGCTAGAAAAAATCGAATTTGTATTTTAAGCAGCCAAAGGAAAGCTTCATGGTATCATTTTGTGTAAATTTGCTTTATATTGGGAAAAACATTCATTACTTGATTTTATAAGAAAAAAAAAATTGATGAATTAGGAGTCTGACTTATTTTGGCATGCTTAGATTGGCATATTTGTGGTGCGTTAGGCATTATTGTCATTTTTATAAGTTTTCTCTATGTTTGCTTGTTATGATGATTATGCAGCATGGAGAATTTCCTCTTCTATTCATTTTCAACTTAGGATGAATTTCAGGGTCTTGACGTATCAATGTTTCTTTGACAGAGATGTGTGGGCCTTCATTTTAACTTGCAAGGTGCCATATTGCAGTCTTTATGATCAGGGGTAATGAGATTCCTCTATTAGGCTTGAAATATAAAATTTGTTTCTCACTTTTGTAATTTGAGGCCATGGCTCTTGAGGTTTACTTATTCCGCCATCAAATTTTATGACATGCTTACATAAATCAACTAAGTTTCTACTTCTTCAGCATTTTCAACAATTTTGATTTTGACTAATATCTCATTCTCACAGGTATACTTCAATTGGAAGCATATATGACACAGTTCCAAATGCATTACTGTGTGTCAACAACTCATCCAGTAGCAAAGAAAAATTTAAACCTGCATATTTGCTTTCTGATGGAAGATTGGAGAGAGCAGGTAGAGCAAAAAAGTTTTCTCAACAAGTTTGTGGTCATCGTCCAGTGATAGCAAATGGCATGGACGATAATGATTTACATAGAAACAGCATGCTCACAGCATCAGCCATTGCTGTGGGGGATGAGGTTCTGTAAGTCCCTTGTTGGCATTACTTGGTGTTATTGGAGATGTCTGCTGTCTGGAAAATGCTTTTAGCACTTATTAGTTGGTTGTTTCAAATGTATGCTTTATCTCGGCTCTCAAATTTTCCGTAATGCTGAAAGGAAATTAACATGTTTGTTCAGTGCTTTGATACTTGTCTGCATAGAGCATGGTTGTGTGTCATAAGCTTCATTTCTCTCTCTTTGTGTGTCATAAGCTTCATTTCTCTCTCTAGTTTCCCCCAATCAATTGTTATTGTTGAAGCTTCCAGTAATTTTTTTATGTGTTCCATAGCTCAGGTTTGGCACTGTGGAGGATCAATTGGGACCTTTGTTGTGTAAAAAGCTACATAGCGTTGGTTGGAAAGTAAAACAAACTGCTGTTGTCCAGAATGATGTGAGTTGTTATTTATGAAATTCATCTCAGTAAACAATAGTTTTTTGTAGGTAAATTGTTTAGCAGTATCTTATGCAATGCAGATAAGGTGGGAACCTCAATTAGTAATTTCTATACTTTTTTGCGAAGAATTATCTTTATAGTTTTATGAGTTTTGAAAGTAAAAGAAAGACAAAATTTTTACAACAAGTGGCAAAGAAACAAACAATGGATCATCAAAAGCATTCGATTTCTGAAAGGAAAAAAAAAAAAAAAAAAAAAAAACCTTCAAAAAGAAACCCTATTTGATTAGTTAGATTGAGAAAAAATAGAGGACTTGGGTGAAACTAAAAAAGATTTGATGATCAGTTTTAGTGGGTTACGTCTGTGGATTTATTTCTGGAACTCTACAATCTGCAATTGTTAACCTCTTATTATAATTCCTTTATTTTGTGGCTTTCTTTTGGATCAGGTAGATTCTGTGGCTGAAGAGGTTGACCGACAGAAATCTGCTAATGATATGGTAAATTTGGCATTCTGTTAAAGTGCTCTTTGATTATCGTAGTCAAGGGTTTTGTCTTCCTAAGTTCTGATTCTTCTTATGGTCCATATTTTGCTTGATCCTTGTAGGTTTTTATATATGGAGGGGTAGGCCCATTGCATTCAGATGTTACATCAGCTGGTGTTGCGAAGGCATTTGGGGTTCGCCTGGTGAGTTATTTTGTTTATGGTGAACTTCTTTATAATGCTTTCTTGGCTTTTTCAATTTTCTGTTTGTGTTCTTTGATAGACTCTGGCATTCTTTAGAAAGGAACTTTGAACCATTTTTTTCTGCTGGTGGGAAGATAAAAGACTCTCTGCTGGTTTTGTAGTTTATTTGTTGCCCTAACTCTATTTTGGTTGATTGTCTTTAATTTAAGGCTCCTGATGAAGAATTTGAAGAATATCTAAGGCATCTTATTGGTGAACACTGCACTGGTGATCGAAATGAGGTAATTTGATATCAAGTATTGATTGTTTCTGCATTGTGATAATTTGCTACCATGGTACATCTTGTTAGGAATGAGTGGGGAAATTCATATGATAATATAATTTTTTAAACTGGAACCCACGAGTAATATGGATTTACTCGTTCAATTGTAGGCATGATGTTTTGGGGACTTGGCCTTGTCTGTTTTGTTTAAAACACCAAGACTTAAACTGTAACTACTGAAATCCAAGCCTTCTTTATTACTTGAGCCTAGATCCTGGCCACCCCCGTCACATGTGAGTCTTGTTTCGGGGAAAATGGAAATAATTGGTTTCTGAGGATATCTAATACCTGTTTCTGCTTTATTCAGGGTACCTGATTAATGTTTTTCCATTTTAGTTGGAGAGTTTTATGCCCCCATCTTAGGATGTTTAGGTGGTTCATTTATAGTTGCTGGAAAATCATACATTTCTTGCGGCTGCTGTTGCTCACTACTTCTCATTTCTGATGTTGTGTGTTTCTGGAATATGCACCTCGCATGCATATCCATCAGCTTTTATCTTATTTCCAGATAGCATAAATGCTAATATTCAAGTCTTTGGAGCTTGAATTTGATGTTATTCTTGGGTTTCCTCTTCAGATGGCTCTGTTGCCTGAAGGCATCACTGAACTATTGCATCATGAAGCGCTGGCTGTACCTATGGTATGTGTTTCAGAGGCTTACTTTGATGAAAATGCTTCTTCATTTACAATGTCAGTTAGCTTCAAATTTCATATTAAAGAATGATACTGAAGAATTGACTGACCAATAGTGTTACGATATTAATGCTCTCCTCTTGATGCAATGTCTCACTCATCTTCACAGCTATTATAGTGCTAGTCTGAGTTGCTAATTATCCACTGAATTTTTTTTTTTTTTTTGTTGGTAGATCAAGTGTCAAAACGTTATCATTCTTTCTGCCTCAAACGTCGCTGAACTGGAAAAGGAGTGGAAGTGTTTGATTGAACAACTAAGATCTAGTGGCTTGTCATTGATGGAACCGTTTACATCAAAGAGCTTGTCAACAAATCTATCAGATGTATGTGAAATTATACCTCATAAAACTTAAGATTACCATTACATATTGCTGTCAATACAATGACCTCCTTAAACTTTGGCAACACTTGCTGCAGTTCTCGCTAGAATTGAAGATTCTGTTTGCCTACTTACTGCCTACATGATTTCCACATTACTAAATTACGCCTTAATATTTATGTGCCAACTGGCTGTTTTCTGTGTCATCTAGCAGAGCATACCTGCATTTTCTCAGCTTCCGAATGTTGCTGCATCATTCAAACTCATGTGAAATTATCACTAACCCATAAAACGTCATGTCCTGGACGGAACTGTTATTGAATTTACTGTTTTCAATATTATTTTGTATATTCTCTCTAGTGCTAGTGGGCCTGATGATTTTGCCTATTGTCAGTGCCTAGAAAGTGAGCTATGTCAAGTATTTACTGGATCAACCTGTGGAGAGGATATTCTATTTTTTGTAACGTTGTCTTTGATGTATATCGTCTTTTCCCTTATTGCAGGTAGAAGTTGCTCAACCTCTGTCAAAACTTTGTCTTGAATTCCCAGACCTTCATATTGGTAATTTTTTCGCAATTTTTATAAATTTTCTGTAGAATATGTTACCCTTTTATCTCCTAATTCTGATATTCCCTGTTGTGCAATATTAAGGGTGTCATCGCAAATCAAGAAAAGGGCCGCTCATTATTCATTTTGACGGCAAGGTATAAGACATTTTCTCATGGATATCAAGCGTTTTCCAGAAATCTTGTACAAGTTTTCTCACGCTTACGATATTGATAATATCAAAAAACCTTTGCAGGATGAAGCGCGAATTGAATCAGCTATTGAATCGTTGGGCAAGAAGTTCCGTCCAGGGACATTCTCATAAGTTGCTTAAATTGGCAGATTTACCCATCTTGAAGTATTCTATCAAGCTTCAGGGACCTGGGAGCTCTATTTGGCTCTGATTATGCAAGTTAGAATCACAACTCTCTTTGGATTCTGATGGGACTACAACTGGAATGGGAAAGAGCATAAAGATCTGAAGAAGATTGCCAAAAAATGCTCCATAACTGAGCAAAGCCCTTACAATTACTTTATAAAGAAAAATAATATACCGCTCTCGTGATGAATTAACAGATCCAAGAGAAAAAGGACTCTGTAATATGTATTGGTTCTTAGCTAAGAGGGAATCAATCTGACGGCATTATTCAAAAGTCAAAACTTTCATTTATTTTAGTTGAATAATTAAACAATTTCTTTCTGAATCATCTGTGCTTATCTTAGCTTGATTTTTAGAAGAGTAGAGCACTCTCACATTCAGCAACAAAGTCATTTTCAAGACAGCCTCATTGAGCAAGGTACAGTCGTACAGAACGATTCCATCCACGAAATTACATTGTTAGAAAGTTAACAACTTTCATTTGGGTATCTAATTTCCGAAATAATATGATCATAAAGATGAAGTGTGAAAATTTCCTGTATCTTATTCTGCAGTCTTGAATTTGATTAGTATTTGCACAGTTAAAATATGATTAAGATTGCGCATTTGTCCATTAAGATTGAAAGTTTCCAATGGTAAATCTAATGATTTATAGTGGGAAAAAAAAGTAAAAAAAAAAAAAAAGAAAAAAAAGTGAACTGTGCTATGAAAATGTTGAGAGCTATTTATCTTACGTGTGAGCGCGGTAACATTTCCCTCGTTATCAAGTACCGTAAGGAGTAAGGACTAGATTTTCAGTAGAAGTCCGTCGTGAGTGTTGTCCAGCGTGACTCAAATTGGAAATGGAGGGCAACGAAGACAATACAGAGAAAGGCTTGGAGGGCACGGGTCTTGAGCTTCCAGTGAATCGTCATGGCAACTTGAAAAGTGCTTCCACCGATCAAAACCTCACCCATATTCTTCATCATATTAAGTCTTCCAAAACCCCTGTAACCCACCATGTCTTTTCCGCTTTTAGCTTTCCTAGTTCACCTTCTTCATTTATTGATAATTGTTTCTTTGATTTTGCGCTTGCAGGCAGTTATTAATTACGGTGCATCATGGTACGTTTCTGGCTTTACAAATAACAAAACTATAACAGGACATGTTGTTAGAATTATATATGCCCACAAAGTGTTCGATGAAAAACTTATTTATAATTTTTCTTTTTAAGTCAAAGCATAAATATATCAAGAAATGCCCATATTTTTTTGGGATATGTTCGTGGTTTGATTTCTGTCAATGGGGTACATTGAAACTACTTCTTAGAGAAGAAGCAGTTGATGGTTAATGCTATGAAGATACGGAGTAATTTTATAGAAAGGACATTATTTTACCAAGTATCATGTTTAAATACCATTAGATTCATCATCTTGAGACTAAAAAAATATTTTACAAATGAATTCCATATCTTGGTTTGCTTGACAAGGTGTGGGATTCGTGTTTTTAGGGCCACCTGCTTGGCAAATAGTCCTGTCAAATTGTAGGGTCCAAGGGTTTAGGGCTTAGTTTCAACATCATGATCACCATACAGTTGGGTTGCAGGGATTTTTGGATTATTATTAGAAAAGGAAAAAGAGAAGAAGAATGAGGAAAACATATATTTCATTTGAGTTTGTCTCAAGCTTCGGTTGAAACTTGCAAAGGCGAAATTAAATTGTGAAACTGTGTTATGATTTTCAGGTGCAGAGTGTGCAGCCAGATTCTGCCAGCATTTTGCAAGCTGAGTAATAACTTCCCCAAGCTTTCCTTCGTATATGCGGATATTGATGAATGCCCAGAAACAACTCAACATATTCGTTACACACCCACATTTCATTTCTACCGTGATGGCGAAAGAGTCGATGAGATGTTTGGTGCTGGAGAGGAAAGACTTCACGATCGATTGTGGTTGCACTCCTGAATACATATGTTTAGCTTAACGTTTGTAAGCAATTTGATGTCAATGATTTTTACTTTTCCAGACTATATACTCTTGGCTTCAAGTCTTGTTATAATACACTTGGCTTGTTATTTTAGGGATAACTTTCTCATATCAAACAGTACATCTGATTAATGAACAGCTTCATAACGGGGGCATTATAAATTCAGAATTTGATCAAATCAAATGAATCACATAATATTCTCGGTAAACAAACTGGATGGTTCCAGAAACAGTAACTAGCTACAAGAAATAAAATGGATTAAGAAGACAAATGACAAATATAACAAGTTCCCTAAATTTGCTAATATCTCAACTTTAAGGCATATATATCCCGGTGCCACCTCGGATCTGAGCCAAAAATTTCGATTAAAGTTCAGACATATGCATTGAAGACATATGCATTGAAGCCTTTCTTTATTCCCCCCACATGCAGAATAATGGTTGTGAAAATAAGCTTTTCTTTATTTCTTCCCCACAAGCAGAATGTTGGCTACGATAACAACCATTTCCCGAAAGATACCATTAAAAAATCACACACTTAGGCCTTCGGCTGAAGGGGCTTAACAGTCTCCCAGGTGAAGTCTGCATCGTCACGACCAAAGTGACCATAGGCAGCAGTTTTCTGGTACCTGAAATTGCCTCCTCTCTTCAAATCAAGATTGATAGCAATCATTCCAGGCCGGAAGTCAAAATTCTCCTTAATCAAAGCCAGAATGTCACTGTCTGGAATTTTTCCTGTCTTGTAAGTGTCAACAAACACTGAAAGTGGTTCTGGCACACCAATTGCATAAGATACCTGCACAATACAACGACGTGCAAGCCCTGAAGCCACCACACTCTTTGCTGCCTGCCTAACAATGTATGCAGCACTCCTATCCACCTTGGTGGGATCTTTTCCAGAGAAGGCACCTCCACCATGAGCACCCCACCCACCATATGTATCAATGATGATTTTCCGACCAGTGAGTCCAGCATCTCCATGTGGTCCACCAATAACAAACCGACCGGAAGGATTGAGGTGGAAGATGGTATTGTCATCAAGATACTGAGCAGGGATAACAGGCTTAATCACATGCTCTTTCAAGTCTTGAGCAATCTTCTCATTGGTCACAGTCTCTTCATGTTGTGTTGAAATGAGAACAGTATGAACTCGAACGGGAACCATGGCTCCACCTTCGTTGCGATACTCAACAGTCACCTGGGTCTTACCATCAGGCCGCAACCACGGGCAAGTCTTGTTCTTTCTGACCTCAGTGAGCTTGGCACCAAGCTTGGTAGCAAGGACATGAGTTAGTGGCATGAGCTCAGGTGTTTCATCAGTGGCGTAACCAAACATGTGTCCTTGATCACCAGCTCCAATTTCCTCAGGTTTCTTACTGAGATGGCCATGAACTCCCTGGGCAATGTCAGGACTCTGTTGCTCAATATTGACAAGGACCTTGCATTTTTCAGCATCAAGGCCAACCTCAGCTGATGTGAACCCAATACCTCTGCAAGTATCGCGAACTATTTTCTCATAGTCTATTTTAGCCTTGGTTGTGATCTCACCAAACACCATAACCATATTAGTCTTGGTACAAGTCTCACAAGCAACTTTGCTCTCAGGATCCTGCTCTAAACAAGCATCAAGGATAGCATCCGACACCTGATCGCAAAGCTTGTCGGGGTGACCTTCATTGACAGATTCAGAAGTGAAGAGAAACGTTTCCATCTGAACTGAGAGAGAGATCATAGAATAAACGTTAGCCACAAAGTTCTTAAATTGCCAACACTCCCCATCCAAGATCAGATCAATAAAATTAGTACTCAATAACAGATCAATACTATCAAACAAAAAATATTCTTTTAGTCAAAACAACAAGCATCTCTACACCCAAAATCGAAACCATATGAAACTCAATCAATACGCCATTGATTCACAATGCAACAAAGATCAAGTGATAATATTTGAAAATAAACACATAAGACTAAAACTTTCATAAACCCAGATGCCAAAACATTAGTATTAAGAATCTAACAGTCTATCTCGAACACCCAAATGAAAACACAAGTCAAAGAATACGTAGAAGATCTCAGAGGAAGTACCTTTAACTGAAAAGTGAGTTCAGTAGATAGATCTGTGAAGCGAAGAAAAGGGTTGGTGTGAGAGAGAGAGAGTGGTTTATAGAAAGAGCAGTTCCGAATGACTCGTTCTCGTTCTCTCACTTCCTTGGCCTTGCTTTCCCCGCTCTTTTCGCAACTTTCCACTTCTTCTCTTCAGTTTTTATGGGCAAACGGGGGTTTATTCTTTACGACTTGGAGTAGGTTCATGATTGATATGGACGGTTGGATTTTGTTGGGTTTTTGTAAGATGGGAGAGTTAACGGTGGTGATGAAGTGTAAAGATGAGAGTGATTACAGGTGATTGAGCTTTACAGCTACCAACCAGTGTTGTTGGTTGGTAAGTGGGTCCTTTTCACACCAAATTGGAAGATTGGTGGCCAATCCACTGCTCAGATCTGGCCACGTCACCACTGAGCCCTGCACATTTGATTTTGTATTCTTACAGAAGTGAGAAGAAAATAAAATCCAAGTTGATGGGCATTATCAAGACTTAAATTGATCCAATAATTCTTTAATCTGAGGTTCAAAAGGAGTAAAATTTAATCCAATTTCAAGTTTTTCAAATTGGTTTCTACGCAAATCATTTTATCTTTAGTCATCTGAACCAATCAAGAAGATTTTTGAATTATTTTAATTCACATCTAGATGGGCATTTTTTTTTAATGTTAAACAATTGATTTAGATATTTGTTTAATAATAAATATAATCCACAATTCAATCTTACAAATTTCTCTTAGAGCTTTGATATAACAGTTTGTAATTGAGTAAACGAGACTCATAATAAACAGACAGAACCATTTGTGACTTAATCTATTATAATCTGTTACATCGGGATTGTGAAAGAGATTAAATTGTAAATATGACGTTACCTTTTATTTAATAAGTAGATGTCATTTGGGTTCCAACCCGCTCGTAAACACTTCCACGATCGAAAACTATTGTTTTACGCTTTTCAAAGATTACAAGGTTTGAAAGGAACTCCAATTTCAAAGTCATACTTTCTGGATTCTAAAAAAAGAAAAAAAAAAAAAAACATTCTCATCACTTCATTGGATGGCATTGTTTGTATCTTCTATAAATAATAGCTACTTGCATTTGTGTTTTTTGAAATGAGGCCTTCAAGCTACAAATATCAAACACAGATCGCCTTGTGAATTTTTCTGCATAATTATCACTGGTTGTGTACAGTCTCTTCTGCCGATGATCCTTGTATGCAAAAACGAATAACAATAAATAACAAGGTTGGTTGTTGAAGTTAGTAGCTGAGGCCAAGTTGAAGTCCGAAGGCGGCATGGATGAGAAACAGAGTCATGATCCCGCTACCTAATATGCCATGAACATTTCTCAATCCAGGATTCCCCTGCACCATGATTGAAATTGAAGAAATGAAAATGGGAATCATCAAATTTTGGAAGAAAATGAAGGATGCGAAGTCCAAGAAATTACTATAACTTCTATTATTGTTAGTTTTCGGAGCAAAGACTTCAACCATTACCTCAAATAATGAGGGCAAAAATGTTTGTATGGTCAACAGAGCAAGGCCAATGAAGCCTGTGACAGCATGAGGACTACAAACAAACATATATAGTTATCAGCTAGTTTCTGACCAAATACAAAGAAAACATTTGCTTCATTGCCTGGGGATAATGTACCTTTCGAAGATAGGTCTGTCCGAAGTAAGAAGTGATGTAACTCCACCGGTGGCGCCTAGAGCAAAGAAGAAAAACATTCCACCAAGAAGCTTTGGGTGCAAGTCCTTGGCATTGGCCTTCTCTTCCTGCAGTAATCCAACTATGTTAAGGTAATTGTGACAACGGAAAGGCTGCTGTTAAGAATGTTTTGCGATGAATTTTTACTTACCAGATCATCAGAAAAACGTATGCGGAAACCCAGATACGTTCCATAACCACCCATGGCAAAGAGCACAACAGCCTAAGAATTATAAAACACGTCAATAGGCATAACAAACTTGGTGTTTGCAGTAAGTTCCATTAATGAACATATAAATATTAGGTAAACAGGAGGGAAGTTGAAAGAAGAAATGTATACCATGTTGCCGGGGTGACCCCAGTGCACAAGCCAGTCAGGAAGACTCCAAGACTTCACAAGCTCAACAAAAGGCCCAAAGAGAGACCTTACAGTCCCAGCTACTCAGATATTTGAACCATTATGAGTAAAATTAGACATCAGACTAAGTTGGAAATCAAGTTAATGCCTGCCTAATTATGAAACATGAGGTTCTAAGTTGGAAATCAAGTTAATACCTGCCTAATTATGAAACATGAGGTCGATGCTTTCCGATATTTGAAGCTTATGTTGATCAAATCAAATTCTACTGGTAAAATCACACTCAAATCTTGTATTTTAGTAACTAATTCTAGATTTAAATTTGTCACTGTTACTGATACCAATCCGAAATTTACAACAGTGGTGACTCAAAGAGAGTGTCACTAAATCACTCATTTTAATCCGTCTAGACTCACGAAGAAAGCTAACTTAGCTTCGTTTGTTCTGGAATTCCAGTAATCAGTAAGTTCAAAATTAGCCTACTGTTGAAACAGTGATATTTTGCTGTAAATATAACTGAAATTCAGTTAGTTTTGAAGAACCTTTTTTGGCGCCAAAAGAGATCTCTGGTTTGCCTTGTATTCTGCCGTGAAAGAGCTGCTGAAGTTGATAGGTTTTGGTGATATGTTTAGGTGCTCTCAGCTGTGATTAAGGGTGTATTCGTTGTAAACTTTGTTTTTAAATTTCAAACTTGTAAATGTTACTTTAGTGTAACAATGAGCTGCCATGCTGTATAAAAAGTGTAATGTTATTGCAATGAAATACAACTTCTTCTCAACTTATATTTCTCACTTCTTTCCTTAGCATTCTCCAGCTTAAGACACCTACAATTGGTATCAGAGCCATACTAAAAACCTGAAATCTCTCGCTCCCACGTTCAATCATTCATCTCAGCTCAAGAACACCTTTGTTTCAGACTTCATATTTCTCCTGCTTCAGATATCTAAACTGAGCTGATGACTGCTCAATCAGCCTTGATGTCACCTCCAATTTTCAATGGAGAACACTATCACATATGGACTGTAAAAATGAAGGCTTTCCTCCGGGGTCAGGCTTGTGGCAGTATGTAGAAGAGAATAGGCAGCCAACATTGTTGGGACCAAATCCCACTCTGAATCAGATCCAAATGCATGAAGAAGAAGCTGCCAAGGCACCGAGAGCCCTATCTCACATCCATGCTGCTGTAACAGACCTTGTATTCACAAGGATTATGGCATATGAAACTCCAAAGGAGGCGTGGGACAAGTTAAGAGAGGAATACATGGGAAGTAACACAACAAGGAATATGCAAGTGCTGAATCTAAGAAGAGAATTTGAGATGTTGAGGATGCAAGAATCAGATAAAGTTAATGAGTATGTTGACAGGCTGATGAGTGTGGTCAACAAAATCAGGTTGCTTGGAGTGGAGTTGGCAAACAGGAGAGTTGTGGAGAAGGTTTTGGTAAGCTTGCCCGAAAGGTTTGAGTCCAAAATTTCCTCTCTTGAGGACTCAAGGGACATGTCGCAGATCACTCTTACTAAGTTGGTCCATGCGTTGTAAGCACAAGAGCAAAGAAGGCTCTTGAGACAAGAAGATGAAAGTGAGGGTGCAATGATAGCAACTCATAAAGGCAAGTCTGTACAAGGGAATAATAGGAGATATGCCAGTGATAAAAAGGGGAAAGAAATGAGCAATGGTCAGTGGGGAAAACCAGGTGGGATGAAGGAGTATCCACCTTGCTCTCACTGCAAAAGGAAAGGACATTCTGAGAAGAGGTGTTGGTTTAGGCCAGGGATACAATGCAGGGCCTGCAAACAATTTGGCCATATAGAGAGGGCCTGCAAGAACAAATGAGAGCAATCCCAACAGCAAGCTCAAGTGACTGATGATCAACAACCAGAGCAGGGGACATAACAACTATTTGTAGCCTCTTGCAGTGAAACAAACAAGCAAGGAAGGTTGGCTGGTTGACAGTGGATGTACAAACCACATGATACCAAACCTGCGAAACTTTGTCAAATTGAATCATGCATATCGGTCCAGAATCAAAGTGGGAAATTGTGAGTTTGTGGAAGCAAGAGGAAAGGAAGATGTTGTTGTTCCATGCACCTGAAATTAGCCAAAGCCTTCTTAGTGTAGGACAAATGTTGGAAAATAATTATGTCTTGCATTTTGAAAACCAAACCTGCCAAATCTTGGACAGTAAAGGGTGTGAACTTATGAGAGTAAAAATGGTGGGAAAGAGCTTCCCTATTAAGTGGGAAAAATCTGAAGTTAGAGCCTATGATGCTAGGGTAGACGAGTTTGAAAAATGGCATAAAAGATTTGGCCATTTCCATTATCATGGCCTTAAAGAAATTCAGACAAAAAAATTGGTCCAGAATCTGTCCGAAATTGAAGAAACTAAGGCTGTGTGTCCAGCTTGTCAACTTGGCAAGTTGAGTAGGCAGCCCTTCCCTATAAACCAAGCCTGGAAAGCTGTTGGAAAACTTCAGCTCATTCATTCAGATGTGTGTGGGCCTATGGAGACATTATCATTGAGTGGAAGTAGGTACTTTGTGTTGTTTATAGATGACTGGTCCAAGATGTGTTGGGTGTATTTTTTGAAGCAAAAAGGTGAGGTGGCTAGTGTGTTTAAGCAATTTAAGCAACTCGTGAAAATTCAAACAGGAAAAACCATCAAAACCTTGAGAAGTGACAATGGTACTTAATACACTTTTCAAGAGTTTGAGCAAATTTGCAAGGAGGTTGGAATTAGACATCAGTATAGCAGTCCCTACACTCCATAGCAAAATGGAGTTAGTGAGAGGAAGAGCAGGTCAGTTATGGAGATGGCAAGGTGTATGGTTGCTGAGAAGAAGTTGCCAAAGAATTTTTGGGCAGAAGCTGTCAACACTACAGTGTACTTGCTCAATAGGCTTCCCACAAAAGCCTTAATCAACCAAACTCCTTATGAAGCCTGGTATGGAGTCAAGCCACCAGTAGACAATCTCAAAATTTTTGGGAGTATATTTTATATCTTAGTTCCAGCAGCAAAAAGATCCAAGATGGATGAGAAGGCCTTGATTGGAATTTTTATTGGCTATAGCAGCCAATCCAAAGCTTATCGGGTGTATGTTCCAGAATCCAAAAAGATTTTGATCTCTAAGGATGTCAAAGTGGATGAGGATGGAGTTTGGAATTGGGAAGAAAGCAAAGTTGATATAGAGACAAGAACTAAATGGACAGAAGCTGCTGGTGATTAGACTTTTGAAGAAGAAGAGAGTGATGTAGAAAAGGAACTCTCGGTTAGAGGCACCAGACCTTTAGCTGAGGTTTATGAGAGGTGCAACATGGCTTCACTTGAACCAACAAACTACTTTGAAGCAGCAAAATCGAAGGCTTGGAGAGTTGCCATGAAGGAGGAGCTAGCAATGATTGAGAAGAACCAAACCTAGAAACTTGTGGACAGACCTAGAACAAAAAAGTAATCCAAGTTAAATGGATTTTCAAGAGAAAACTCAATCTGGATGGCTCAGTTCTTAAGCACAAAACTAGGCTGGTTGCAAAGGTTTTGCTCAGCAATATGGAGTTGACTTCTTGGACACCTTTGCACCGGTAGCTAGGCATGATACAATCAGATTATTGTTTGCTGTGACAGCTCAATTTGGCTGGAAAATTTTTCAGTTGGATGTTAAGTCAGCCTTCCTCAATGGATGGCTGAATGAGGAAATATATGTTGAACAGCTGGAAGGGTACAAGATCAGAGGAAGTGAAGATAAAGTCTATCTCTTGAAGAAGGCCTTGTATGGCCTGAAACAGGCACCAAGGGTCTGGTACAGCAGGATTAATGATCACTTAATAACCTTGGATTTTGTAAGAAGTCCAAATGAACATACTTTGTATGTTAGAGAGGTTGATGAGGATGTGATGATTATCTCCTTGTATGTTGATGATCTTTTTGTGACAGGGAGTAAATTAGCTCAACTGGAGGAGTTCAAGAAATCCATGCTTAATGAGTTTGAGATGACAGATTTAGGGGAAATGTTTTATTTCCTCGGGATGCAGGTTTATCAAGGTTCAAATGAAATTTGTGTCAACCAAGAGAGTATGCAAGTGAAGTTTTAAGGAAATTCAACATGGAGAATTGCAAATCAGTGGACATTCCATTGGTTCCTAATCAAAAGCTTTCAAAAGATGATGATGCATAAAATATTGATGAAGGGTAGTATAGGAGTTTGATTGGTTGTTTGCTGTACTTAACAGCAACAGACCAGATATAATGTATGCTACAAGCTTGCTGTCTAGGTTTATGAATCAGCCCAAGGAAACACACTTCAAAGCTGCAAAAAGAGTGCTAAGATATGTAAAAGGTAGCACTAACTTTGGAGTATGGTTTAGGAGGTCAGAATACTTTGAATTGGTAGGATTTTCTGATAGTGATTGGGGTGGTTCTATAGAGGACATGAAAAGCACTTCAGGTTATGCTTTCTTCCTGAATTGCGGTGCAATTTGCTGGCTCTCAAAAAAACAAGAAATCGTGGCTCAATCCACAACAAAAGTAGAATATATTTCAGCTACTGCTACTGTGAATCAAACTATTTGGCTGATAAAAATCCTGGAAGATTTGAAGCTGAAACAAAGAAATCCTACTGCAATTATGTGTGACAATCAATCGGCTGTGGCTATGGCTAAAATCCAGTTCATCATGGAAGAACTAAACACATAAAGATCAAGTTCCATGCGGTAAGAGAAGTTGAGCAAGATGGGAAAGTTAAGCTGGTCCATTGCAGAGGTGAGGATCAAGCGGCTGATATCATAACCAAAGGCTTGTCCAAAACCAAGTTTGAAGACTTTAGGCTCAAACTTGGTGTTTTCAGCAAAAATATCAAAGAGGAGTGTTGAAACAATGATAATTTGCTGGAAATATAACTGAAATTCAGTTAGTTTTGAAAAACCTTTTTTGGCACCAAAAGAGCTCTCTATTTAGCCTTGTACTCTGCCGTGAAAGAGTTGCTGAAGTTGATAGGTTTTGGTGATATGTTTAGGTGCTCTCAGCTGTGATTAAGGGTGTATTAGTTGTAAACTTTGTTTTTAAATTTCAAATTTGTAAGTGTCACTGATTAGTTGGTGTAACAGTGAGCTGCCATGCTGTATAAAAAGTGTAATGTTATTGCAATGAAATACAACTTCTTCTGAACTTATATTTCTCACTTCTTTCCTTAGCATTCTCTGGCTTAAGACACCTACACCTACTCTATTCAAGATTGGATTATTTCCATTTTTAAGTAAAGCAAAATGAACGAATACTGGAGATGATTAATTTGAGCTGCCCTCAATCAACCTCAAGCTAAAATGACGACCAGAACACATTTAATTCATCTCAAGAACAAAGACACATATTAAGAGGTGCCATAAAAGCCTTCTTATTTCAGATAAAGGGGGCAATCAACAAATAATGAAAATCTGTCAAACTTAACTGGAAATACTTGAAAGCTGATAAATGAGAATATATCGATAGAATAATATTTAATACCTCCAGGAAGTGCAGCCACAAATAGCAAAGGTAGAGGAGAGAGAGAGTATAACACTGTCTCACTTGGCTCTTGCATTTCTTCTTCTACTTCTTCAGCTACTTCATAAGCTTGAACAATCTCATTCTTCAATGCAACAGACTGACCGAAGACACCCCTTCTCTTTCTTGAAGCAGACAATGCAAAAGGCAAGAACCCAGTTGAGATTCTATAAGCAGTTGATGGAGCAAAGGGAAATGAAGAGGCGGGTAAATGAGAAGAAGAGGTTTTCAAGCTCAGAGTTGTAGCTCCAAAAGCATTCACCACTGCCATTTATGAAAAGACTGCCACTTTAGTTTTACACTTTGTTTCTGGTGTAATGGATGGAGTTGTTTCTCAGTTAAAGAGTGTGAAGCGGAGGTAGAGAAGAGGTGAAGTAGGAAAGGTGAGGAAAGAGACACGCCAATACAATGTATATTAGATTTAGACCTTTCCACGTGGTCTCAACACGCTCTCCTACCAAAATCAACCCACCTTTTTTGTTTTTAGTACTTAACTATCATTTGTATTCAACATTCGAGAGCATTCTCGTCCATCGATGTTGCCATGCCTGCTGCATCCATGAAAAAGAGCCAAAATGATCCTAACCCATCATCTACTGGCTACCAATGAACAATTTTCTGTGTCCAATACGATAGTGACACTAGATAGTTGATTCCAGAGTTCTTTACAATAAGCTATAGAGGTTTATGTGAACAAGTGTAGAAAAAAAAGAACAATTTCTTTTCTTTATAATTCAGATCCCACTTGAGAAACTCAAGTCCCACTAGGAAGTAGATATTTTGCAAATTTTTATCATTTAACGATCCTAAAACATCGAAAACTGTAATCTTTGAGATGCAGAAAACTCATTTTTTGGTTAGTTAAGCGACTGTGAGATAGATATCAAATCTGATACCTTCAAGAGTAATCGACAAACTATCTGCAGAAACTCGAGGCTAAAGAAGAATACTAATAAACAAAGATAGTTAAGCAGAAACAACTTTTTATGTTTCTTATTAACTGATGCTGTCCAGCTCAAAGACAACATGTAGAGTTTTGCAGCACATTCTGCATTATGATTTTCTACTCATCAAATCCTAACAATGAACAGTTAAGAACTCTTGTTCTTGTGGAAGTGAAAGGAACAATAAAATCGATAACATGTATTAACATGGAAGAAATGCTTCCTAGCAACTAATCTAACTTCTGTACATTGGCAGCAGCGGCAACTGATTAAGTGCGTTGATGTTAAGCCTATTCCCCTCTTCATCAAAAGTCCCATGATTCTTGAAGCAGACATTCCCATGTTCTCGTAACAGTAAAATACTCATCTAACTGAGCAGTGAAGGTATTTACAAAAAAAAAAAAAAAAAAAACAAAACAAAACAATATAAAATTAAAAATACATATATTCATACATTTTGTACAATAAGCTAAATCCCCTTTTCTGTTTTGTACAAAATAGCAGGCATCGATCCAAAATCTACATAATCAGCATGTGCCAGCCCCATTTTTACCATGTGGAGATCAAGCTGAAGGATTTCCCATTCAACGGCACAGGGCATTAAACTGATCCATTGTTGTTCTCTGTACACTGAGCATGATAAATGTAAGAACGCTTTGTTGTGCCTCCCAGCAGTCTTAACACTTTAAATAGCAGTCATAAACTAGATATTACAGAGATAAAAAGAAAGACACTCGAGATAATTGGAGATGGAGATGCTATTAAACAGCCATTTCAATCAAGGAAAAGCTGACATTTGAAATTTTATGACTCCAAATATTACATTGCTCCATTTCAAACGAATTGTGATATAGGATATGACTCTCATGGATTCGGGAGTTATCATTCGTGGACTTAAGCCATCTCACTAGAATTTATCTAACACTTACCTTATTCCGCTGCGTTAGATTGCAATTCAAAAATCAAAATCCATAATCAGAGATTCTCTTTTTGTTTCTTTTTTATACCTCGAAATCCATTGATTGACCTTTCTTATGTTTTCACTGATTTCTAAACCAAAAACTACAACCTAATCCTGCACAACCTAAGTAGTCAACCTAAGTAGATAGCCTCAAGAGAGTTTAATCACATGATTATATACTGTCATAGTAGACAAAAAAATCAAAAAGGAGGAGAAACGTGTAAAATACCAATAGCGATTGACACGAACTTCCTATGCATAATTTTAGTAACCAAGACTTTTCATAAGACAAGACAATCCAGTATTGGTGCTTCAACTTAGGATTTGAGATTAATCTGCAATACAATACCTTTGCCAAAGAATTATAGGTTCACCATTGTGAACTGGGATTTGGAAACAATAATTAGGAACTTTGAGAATTAAATAATTAATTTACCTAGGAGATAGGAATCATATCAAAAACTCCTCCCATCCAAAATCGTGTCATCTGTCAACTCGGAGAATGTTATTCAATATGCCACCCCGGGTAACTGACTCTCTCTTGGGATCATTCTTCCATTCACCATCAACAATAAACTTGATCTGCAGTTGAATTTCAAAACAAAATATTAAATTGTCATAAACAACACGGAAAATCGTTACAATAATACAGCTCATCTCTAAAAGATCTTTTTATATATTAAAACACACAAAAATATTGACTTAGAGAGTAGAAGTTACAAAAAAGAACAAATATAAAGTAAAGCCCTTTCTCCACGATAACAGCACAAGGTTCAGAAACATGCAAGGCACTAGACACCTTTGCCTCTATTTCCAGTCTATCCTCCAAAAGGGCCTGAGTATCACTAATAATGAATTAAGCATAAACAAGGATTGCCCTTTCATTGTAATATGTTACTAAGAATATAAGCAAAATGTAGTCAAAAAGTGCCAGATGGATACATGCTCTAATCTAAAATTCATGTGTCTGGAAGCAATTTTCAATGAGAGATGGCTATTGATCACCAGCAGATACCCTCTGCAGTTACAATTTTCTTTCCCATCCAATTAACATTTGCTTTTATTGCTTATATAACGAATGACAGACAATCTGTGCATCTCTTTTGCAGCTAGCTAAGGAAAAAACACTGAAAGAATGGTTAAAAATGTTAATCATCATCTCAAGTTGAACTATTACAAATCTATGCCCCAACACCAGCTATTCTCCATCTTTTGATAATTCTGGTACTAGATATTGAAATAGCTGCATAACGGCCAAACTTAGCACTTGGCAGTACTTGGCCAAAAGTGTTGCAATAGTATCTGTAAGGCACTCTCATCATTCCTTCCCTTTCTCAGAACCCACAATGTCGGGACCAGCACTAAATGAATGATTCTTTGAGAACAGCATACACATTGAAGTCTAAGTGACATACAGAAAAAGAAACCATGGCCAGAACTAGAGGAATTCATAGTTGATATTTGTTAATTCCCCTTTCTTTCACCCAGCATCTGGATTTATTTTCATAGGAAAAAAGCCATAATATGATAATCCGGCTCACAAATATGCACCAACATCAACAGGAAGCGTCAATATTGATCATGGTTACCGTTGTCAGCAAGACGAATTTCTAATTGCATTACAAACTAAAAAGACTACTCTTCTCAACAATTAAACCTGTAAGATGGACCCATTCGATCCAATTTAAGCAGTAACGCAAGATTTTTGGAAAATCTCCACTTCTACAGGCATTATAACGAAGATATAATTGCAAATGCTCACAAATTTGATATGAACAGAAAGTACATTCTCACTTCATATTGGTTGCAAAATACTTCAAAAGATAAAATGGAAAAAGTAATCTTTATTATAAGGCAGTAGATTTCCACACCTCATACATCCCAGGATAAAGCCACAGCACGGTTGACCAAGTTCTGGATTTCCTGGAAAGTTCAAGAAGTGAACATGCATAACCGACGGAAAGCATGAAATATTATAAATACTTTCCAAGTAAAACACCATAGACTAAAACAAATACAGAACTTGCAACAGTTGTCATTTTTTGCACGTTGATGATTGACAGACAACTACTTACAAAATATCCAGACAATGAGTATCTTATTCTACTGATTCTATCATAGAAAGGTTCAGACTTTAGAACTCTTGATTGTAGGAAAAAGGCCAAAAGGCATAGACTTTAGACTCGTTTACACTGTATTTGCTAGATTTCTAATTAAACATAAACTACTGACCCTTAAAACCAACACATTAGTTAAAACCAGTTTAAATTAAATCGGTGACAGTAATGTCACACCCAGAGGAGATCCTGAGCTGCTTCCCATGGTATGACATCTGGAGATAGAGATCTACTGAGCCAAGATAGGTATGAAACCTTTTTCTGGCATCATATGATTTGCTTTGTATTTGTGAGGTTTTGTGATACATCATATAGGTTATGTAATTAGCATCACAGCCCAAAACAAACTATGCCTACATTAATAACACAAAATACAAAGTTCACAGAACAAAAGTAGTCTCTAAATTGAGCTCTGTCTCTCCACATAGTTTACTAATTCCTTGATGGGATTTATGCAAGACAAATGCCCGTTTACATCACACTTAAATTCAATATGGAATATCCTAAGACTACCAAATTTGCCAGAGTTCTACGAGAATAACCAAAAGAGCAAAAGCACCCAGAATTTTGGGCATAAGAAAATGAACTGCTGCTGAAATAGAATAAAACAACTAATGCAACTGCAATGCTTCTTAAAGATGGAAATAGCAGGAAACAGCCAAAAACACCTTAATAGAATCGACAAATTAAATATCTATGCTAAAACAATAAAAAAAGACATATACGAAATATCAAGAGTGATCCTTTAAAGACAGTAATTTGAAAAGAGAAAGAACAATAAACACCTTGATCCAATGGTTTCTATGATGCTAGAAGATGGCTTAGGATCCATTTTGATTCGATGATGCCAACCGTTAAAGCTGCCAGCCACCTCGACAATTTCACCATCTCCAGAGTATTGGATCTCAACCTGATAAAATTAATTAATTCCTGTCAGCTGGCATTGCAGATACAGATCATACGTCATTCATTTGGTTGGTGCAAGGAGTCATTGACAAAACTTAAAAGCCAAAACGTGAATGTCAATGAGCTCTCTCTATCTATCTCTCTCTTAGTTGCACTACTCATAATCATTTGCGCTGAGATCTCTAACTTCATCATCATCCCCAGACATAAATATAACAACGCAAAAATGTCATTGTACTGTGATTAAGCTGTGGCAGCTCTTAAGCAGTTGGCACTCTATGTCGACATCCAAACTTTAGACATCTATCTTCTGTACAGAGAAAAGCCAAAAAGCACAGGATGTGCAAATAAAACCATCCCAACAAGCCAAAAAGGCAGAGGGAAAGTGTATATATATATACACTTGTTGATGTCATCAAGCGAACAATCTAAAAATTTTCAAGAGTTGAAAGTAGACTTTGAACAAAAGTTATTCATTGATATAACTTTGACAGTTAATTAAAAAAAAATGCATCAATATATTTATAACACCCAAAGTTGAACTCCAGACATTGCTCTATTCAGGGAAGCACCCCACTCACCTCCAAGATGGCCTAGCTAAGTAAGTCAGATATACATGAAAAGATTCTAACAAAAAGACAGATGCCATACCTCCTCTAATCCTGAGAGGCTTTCTTCAACAGCATTCAATTCAGCATCTTTTTCAGAGATAAGTTTTTGAGCTTTAGAGATTTCTGTTTCAGCTTTGGTTTGCAAAACACATAAAGCACGCTGAAGGAAAAAGGAAAAGAGCAAATTAAGAAATCTAGTAGTTAATGCCAATAGGAATTGCAGTTGTGTAATTCAAAGTTACACATCTATAATCAAGCAGTAATTGTTAGATAATGTCTATTTGTATGACAACAAAATTCAGGAAACAGTCACATAACACTACCAAAGAAACTAAAAGTAAAGTAAAAAAATCCAAGAAGCTGCAATGCAGTACATGGATTTTTCAGAGGTTTTTCAAGATGTTCTCATGGTTCTACACAGATTTAAGCAAAACCACACATTAAGATATGACAGGAGGCATGGCCTTCAAAAATGTATTCAAAATTCTAATTCAACAGACATTTCAACCTTTCATCATTCTTGCAAGTTCTGTTTTCCAAAGGAATGCTAAAATTAGATCCCACAGAAAAATTCTATATTCAGCATTCCCTATCGAGACCATTCTCAAGGAAATGAACTGGTGAATTGGCAAATTTAAAACTCAATCATTCAAAACCTTAACTTGTATGCATTTAGATGAGTTTTTATGCACTAAACACCTCATTGACATAATGAATTCCTGATTGAACAAGTCTTATATGTTTGGTTTCATGTCCTCATCAATAACTGAAAGGAAAATTTGTTCATCAGAATATTTGAATGACAAAGGGAAGATAAATAGTGAGTAATCTAGCTATTTTGAGCATGCTGGATAGCAAGAAAACTTGAATGCAGGCCCCACAACAACACATGCATTCAAAAATAGCACATACTTGCTCCTTCTCAATCTGGTCCTTCAATCGGGACAATTCCAACTCCATTTGTTGCTAAGCACACCAAAAGAGAAAGAAAATATAATTAGTTTATCCATATAACAAAACTTAGTACAAAGAAGAACATTAAAATACCAGGCCACAAAGACATAAATATTTAATACCAGCATAGATTTTAGATTATTAATCTCGAGTTGATTCTCAATTCTGCTAGTCTGTCTCATAGAAATATGAAGGTCAAGATATGCATATGCAAAGAAATATCATTCAACAGAAATCACAATGTACTAAGACAGAACACGTAATGACCTCAATATCCAAATCCTTGTCAAAATCAACATTAAGTAGTCCTTCAGCCACCAAACCATCATCCCTGCAAATATTTAAATAAATCCAGTTCAACAAACAGAACCAGCAAAAAATAATAATAATAATAATAAATAAATAATAAAGGAAGTGCAAAACCATTGTTTTAAAGTAGACTAAAATGCAATACAGCATTAATCACTGACATTTGACAAAAATTTGCCGAACTCCCTAACAGAAGAACAAAGAGGAAAAAAATTGTAATTGTGGATTGTGACTACTTGGAAACTGCATCCACTAGAAAGGCCAGAGTTTTTCATTCTTTTCTCTTCTTTCTCGGTGAATACATGTAATAGAAGTTAATGTCAGTAATCCCCCTGAGATTTCAGAAATAATAGAAATCTCCCTACCATTAAATTTTAGATGCTAATATAAACAGCAAGAGGGTAATTTGGTATTGATTAACTCATAATCGTATAAGTTTTAAAGGCTCACTAACAATTCACCAACAGCAGGGAATTTGGGTTATTTTTAGAAACCTCATTGGGCTTTTTGTTATTCTATCATACCTCAGGGGGGTCAATTCTTTTAACTCTGTAATAAGTCGTTTTGTACAAGAGAAGTAAGCAAATAAAAAATGATTTGAAGCATCAGAATCATCTCTATCTATCCATACAACATGCCAATTATTCAGCCATATGTTAACAATTCCATGTGACAAGAGAGAGATGGGCTAATGGAACAATCAATCAGAAGTAGGACTATTGCAGAATTCGTTTACACTTACATTAAAAGGTTCATGTTGATTCTAACAATAATGCAACTAGGTCATCTATAGTTCATAAGATAATGTCAAGGCATACAGAAGCAGAAAAACTAATTTTAACAGCTCCATTTTTCAAGCAAATAAACAATAAATATAGCTGTAGCAGACACCTTAGTTGATCTACCACACGCTAACCTGAGAGGGTGATTTACAGTCGCAGAAGAAGCAAGTTTGTTGGATGTCAATGCACTCCCATTCAATGTCACAGCACCATCTGCTCTGTGATTATAAACACGTTCTAGCAGATCTGGACCAGGTATCCCAGATTTGTTCCCTCCTTCAGTGACTTCCTCACTTTCTTTAGCATCACTTTCATCTAAAATGTCATACACATCATCTGACCATCAAGCAAAGTTGGGTAACGGGAAGTGCCATCAGAGACAAAGAAATCATTGGACAAAGATATATGAACAGCTTGCCAAACAAAATATAAGACTAGGAAAAAGCAAAAGCGCATGTCAACACCACCAAAAAGGGAAAAAGAAAAAGTGAGGACTGAAATTAGAGTAAAAGAAAAAGAAAGAATATCGAGCTTTAAATGAAATCATATTACGGTCCAACGCAATAAAATAATATATAATACTAATAAATATATAAACAATTTACTAAAAACTGTATTATGAAGTATTTTAGAAGGGTCATTATAGAATGAGGATGTGTTTGGAGTGTTCCCATATACTTGGGAGGGAAAAGAGGATAACAAATGTGAAAAAAAGTTGCTTTTAGACATGATTTTACAGAAGTTGCTTCCAAGTAAAATCACTTTTTGCACAAGCACCTAAAATTGCACATTATATATAAGGACTCCAAATGATTTTCTATCCAAAACATGTTTTTGTCAGTTTCAATTAAAAATTAAAAGGAAAAAAAAAAAAGTATTTGAGAGCATTTACTACAGAGCCAAAAGTACTCCTCTATGCACCCAACCAAAAATCTCCAAAAGTTTCTTGGTCATAATCATATAAATTACAAGTTTTTTATAGTACAATCACAGAAGCATCAAACATTTGTGTCTACAATAGATAATACATCAAAATATCTTTACTACAAGATACAAATACAAGCACAGTAAAGCTTTATGATAATCATATTTACACTAAAAGCATGGCAGCATATGAGTAAGAATGTAACTCTGATAGACCTCTTTTCTTGGTTTAGTTCTCCTATTCTCAGTGCTAGATGCAACAGTATAACCCAAACACACAACTACAGCCAGCCCCAATTTAAATCATCTCTGAAAACTACTGAAACTTATTATTCAAGCACCATTTAGCACCAGTGCTTGTTCCATAAGACTCACAACAATGATTGATAAAGCAAATGAAACTACAGTAATTAAGAACCCACCATCTATCATATCCAAATCTCCATTCTGAATAAAGTTTGCAACCTTTTCCTCCAAGGTTAGAGGGGCTGAAGCTTCTGGGGCTGTGTAATGATGTTCAACAAAGTTGGAAGATGATTCAACATTTGAACTACTGGGATAACTTTCCACTATGAAGACATCATTTGATGACGAAACCTTTTCCTCCAAGGTTATGGAGGCTGAGGCTTGTGCAGATGTGTAATGATGTTCAACAAAGTTGGGAAATGGTTTAATGTTTGAACTACTAGGATAACTATCAACGATGGAGACATCATTCGATGTTGAAACTTCTAAGGACGTGTAATGATGTTCAAAAAAGTTGGGAAATGGTTTAATGTTTGAACTACTGGGATAACTTTCCACGGTGGAGACATCATTTGATTCTGAAGCTTCTGGGGATGTGTAATGATGTTCAACAAAGTTAGGAGATAGTTCAATGTTTGAACTACTGGGATAACTTTCCAAGACAGAGACATCATTTGATGATGAAACCTTTTCCTCCAAGGTTATAGTGGCTGAAGCTTCTGGGGAAGTGTAATGATTTTCAACAAAGTTGGGAGATGGTTCAACATTTGAACTACTGGAATGACTTTCCACAATGGAGACATCATTTGATGATGAAACCTCTTCCTCCATGGTTATAGTGGCTGAAGCTTCTGGGGACGTGTAATGATGTTCAACAAAATTGGGAGATGGTTCAACGTTTGAACTACTGGAATAACTTTCCATGATGCAGACATCATTTGATGAGGAATCCTCTCCCTCCAAGGTTATAGTGGTTGAAGCTTCTGGGGACATGTAATGATGTTCAACAAAATTAGGAGATGGTTCAACATTTGAACTACTGAAATAAGTTTCCATGGTGGAGACATCATTTGATGATGAGATATTTTCAGCGATATTCTTCTTTTCATGCTGACCTTCTATATTGTATGAGGTTGAGGCTTTCTCCTCCAAGCCTAAACTGGTTGAGGATTCTAAAGGTAGCAAACCAATTTCATCACATATGAGATCTGTATTACTAAAGGACCCACCGAAAAGGTTATTCGTGACAGACCTATTGGACTCTGTATCATTCTGACCATTATATGCATAAGAATGATTTTCCTCTAATGATGAATCGGCTGAAGATTCAATTGGCAACCCACTATTATCATCAGAGTTGAGATTTGACTCTGTATTTGTGCTTCCAAAATAGTTTCTTAGACTAGGTTCTTCAACCAACAATAAAAAATCTTCAGCCTCATTGCCCACCTTTTCATTCTGACCTTTTAAATTATACAAGGGTATCAATAACAGCAGAATAATAATAAAATGAGAATCATGACCATAAAATGGAATGTATATTGACCTGGTAAGCCCTTCTCTGCAATAAGATCATCACAATCTATTTTTGTTGAGTTCGCAAGAAGCTCCCTAACAAATTTATAGCCTCTCCGTCTCACAATATTCGCAAGGTCATTTCTGAAAAGGGAAAAAATGTCAAAGAAAAATATAGCATATAAAGTAAATAAGTATTTCCCTTCTAAAATTAATACATAACTTCATAGATTGTTTTCCTTTCAACTGTTTTAAAAAAAAAAATTATAACTTCATGATAACTTTCTGAAAGAAAAAGATTATGTGTATATTAACTAATCTCTAGATTATATCTTGTAACCAGTGAAGGACCGAAACTGGCGAAAATAGTAAGTACACATTCAAAATCAACTACTAAGACATCATAAAACCAGTCCTCCTAAAGCCAGCTTCAAAGGAGTTAACCACTGTGACATATAATTTAATTACCAAAAATTGTAACGCAAAATAAACAGCTCCTAACCATCAATAGGTTCCACAAGAACCAAATCAAATAACCAAACAGAAGATAACAATAATAAAGTAATTGAAGAAGAACCTTCCATGCTCTGAAAGCTCCTTCATGGTGGGCACATGATCGTTGGGAAGTCCAACCCTAGACAAGAACTCCCTTAAATCATTTCGCAATTCTTCATTGCTCTTCACCTTTCTACGGGACCTGAACCACCAAACAACAAACCCAGTTAAACCTTCAAATAAATAAATTTGAAAAATGAATTTTCTTTAAAAAAAAAAAAAGAGAGAGAGAAAAAGAAACAAACTTTAAAACTTAAACCTGGATGTTTTGTTGAGTGAAGAAGCATAAAGGCGGTATGTAAAGTGTTTCCGAAGTGGGTATTGTTGAAAGTTGTTAAAACTGAGGCGGTGGTGGTTGTGGTGAAGGGATAAGAAGATTTTATGAGAAGGAGGGAAAGGAAGAAAGGTTGAAGAAAGAAAGAGGGAGGCCATGGACGGTGAGCTTTTGCAGCATTGAATGATTGAGGTGGAATTGAGAAGAAGCGAAAATCAGTGACAGAAACAGAACTCAAATGAACATGTGATTGTGACTTGAGTAAGCAATGAAAGACATTGGTGGTATGTTGTTTTGTTCATGTTTGGTTGGGCTTGTTAATCCAAATCCATGGCCCAGTTCGTTCATCCAGATAATGATGAATTTTTTAAAACTTTCAAGTTTCAATCCAATTTTAAGTTTCCCATCCCATCAAATACAGTTTCAGATATTTTCATTCATCTTCTTGTTTAGTTGAAATATTAATATAATGAAAATCACTTGAAAATTTCTTTTTTCAACTCTGAATTTTAACACAATTTATTAAAAATAATAACATTTTTGGAGTAATGCAATCTCATATGAGAAAGATTCTGATCCCGATCCTGATCCTGATCCCGATCCTGATCCTGTTTGTTATCTGATTGATATCAAATAAAAAAATTTGAAATGTTTTGAAAAATAATTTTCGGGTACAAATTCTAAAAACAATATAATCAAGAAACAGAATAAATAATTGATTTAGCTTTTATCTAAAAACAATTTGAGCAAAATTTGAATTTCTGAAACAAATATCTTAAACTTTGCCCAACCGACTTTTAATGATTATTTTTTAAAAAAATACACTTCTAATTTTCAACGCCCATTAATTAAGGTACAATATATCAAATTACAATAATGTTATGGACACCGATATTTTATACCGAATTTTTACATCGAACGATATGTCCATTGAATCAGACAAGTCACGTATCACGTTAACAATTATTTCGCAAATGAACGATCGTCCATCAAATATGGACGACCTTCCATTGTTATTAGACGACCGTTTATTTGAATAGACTCTCATCTATATTATATGGACGACTATCCACCTAAAATAAACACTCGTTCATAGTTTAAACTAAAAAAATTTGGCATAAATTATTTACGAGAGGATGGGCGTCCGTAGTTATGGACGACTTTTAATATTAACAAATTTTAAATTTATTTATTACTCTTGTCCATCTTTTTCTTCTTCCTCGTCCTCTTGCACCACCGATGGAATGAAAAGGAGTCACACCTGAATTCCCAGACCAAAGAAACGTAGCTCGTAATCCATTCACATATGCATATGAAAACAGAAACCAATCCAACCATACTTGCAATCCTTTTAAAACTCGTTCCTGCCGAAACTCAAATAATTATCACATCAAAACCAGAAGCAGAACAAATGATAAATACAACAGGAAGTCAAAATGAAAGTTGCCATTATTGCTCACCTTTAGGGCCTCAGCAGTAATCCTTCCAGTTATACTAAGATACAAGTCATTAAAGCTCTCCATTATGTCAGGTAATGTTGCTTCAAATTTGGTATGGTAAGCAGATGCATTTTTTACAAGAGCACTACTACCATGGAGAACATCAGAGACGAGCATAAGCCTAGCAACTTTGGTTGGAATAGGGGTCTCCTTAAGGGGGCGTTTGGTTCAAGAATGTTAGATTATTGAGAATGTTGGATTATTGAAAAGATAGATTACCTTGGAATATTACTGGGAATCTTTAGGAAAATATGTTTGGTTAGTTAATAGGTATGTTATATTAATATGTTTGGTTATGGGGAATAAATTGGTGGATATATTATTTAAATTACTAAATTGACCCTTTTTAAAATATTAATATAATATTATTTTTATTATTAATTTTTGAATAATTTTTTTTAACCTCCAATATTTCAGATTTAGCTAAAACACCCTCATTTATATAAAACTTTAATTTATGATGAAATCACCCCCACCTCCTGCCGCCACCGCAAACCACCGCTAGAAGTCTCCGAAAGTCCCCGAGTAGCTCACAGTGACTAACAGGCTTCGATATGGCCGTTTCTGGCCATATTGATGGCCGAAAACGGCCATATCAGGCCAGATCTGGCCATTAACTGCCACGGACCTGGCTGTTAGCAGCCAAATCTATCTCTATTCCGGCCAGAATAGATCTGGCCATTAATGGCCATGTCTGTGGCCGTTAACGGCCAGATCTGGCCTGATATGGCCGTTTTCGGCATTAATATGGTCGAAAACGGCCACACCGAAGTCTCCTGGAGCCTCCCACCGAATCTGGTTCTTTTTTAGAGACTCCGATGACTTTCCAGCGGCGGTCCGTGGTGGTTGGCCCACTATCGGTGGTGGTGGCTGGGTGGCAGTGGTGGTCTGTAAATTGTTTTAAATATAAGGGTATTATTGTCCACAATTTTAATTAAATAAGGTTAAAATTGAAATAAGATATTAATATAAATTTCTTTTAAAATAGAGGCATTATTGTCCAAAATTTTTATTAATAAGGGATAAAATTGTAACAAAAAAAGATAACCCTGGTAATTTTAGAAAACCTAAGAAAATTGAGGTAATCAGATTACCTCCAATATTACCAATAATGATTACTATTGGTATTTGAAGATTACCAGTATCTTATATTACTTGACAACCAAACATGGTAATCAAGTAATATAAGATCACTTACCCCTAGTAATGACAGATACACCCGAACCCAACGCCCCCTAAGAGTCAAAGATTCTGTCAAGACTTCGACTATCTACAAGATAAAAACCACCAAATACGTCTAAATTTCACAGTGAAGAGCTCAAGAGATGACATGCAGAACTGATCTTTTCAAAAAAAAATTAAATCAAACAATGGACAAGCGTCTGTTGCCTGTCCTTTGAATCATAATTTTCGTTTTAAAATTTTTTTATTTTAAACAATGGATGGGCGTCCATTCTAAGTGAATGCCCATCCATTTACTATGGACTCTCGTCCATAGTAAATAGACACCCGTGCATATAAGATGGACGGGCGTCCATTCTTTTTCATTTAAAATTTTTTGGACGGACGTCCATATAATAAATGGGCCCCCGTCCATGTAATATGAACGAGAATCCATTAAATATGGACGAACGTCCATAAATATTGGACGATCGTTCATTCACGAAAGACTTTACATGATCGCGTTTGACTGATTATCATGTCCTTCGATACAAAAATTCGATATAAAATTTCGATGTCTATATAGCATTACTCATTCAAGGCTGAGTGCAGTTCATTAGATAGAGAATCACATGGGTGCAACCGTGCAAGGTCCATTTTGATTTCAGACGGCCTTCGACCTAGACACACCCCGCCTTAATACTGAGATTTCATTTTCTTTCACTTACATTTACTTTTAATAACTATTTAATGAAAAAAATTTACTAATTTTCAAAGCCCACTAATACCGTTTAATTTATCTAAATTCAGGCCGGCACAATAGTGGCCCATAAGAAATCGGCTAACGAAAGTTAATACTAGACTTGGTGGGGTGCGCCAGGCCCTTGCTGTAGTGCAACGCTTGGGCGACGCTCGAGAACCCCAGTAGCAAGCTACTGTAGCTGGTCTTCCCCCTATAAAAATTAATTTAATATCATGTGGGCCGATGGTCCACGTATCAGATATTAAACTGATAAGAACAGATACTACACTTGATCTTAGCCAAAAGGCCGAGAAAGGTATGATTTACCCAGCCCTTTCACCTTTCTTTTATATCACTCTCAATGCAACTACCCTTAAATAATAGGCGATGTGGGACTTCCTCATCTCCTCTCTGAACTCAGCAACACCTCTTTCTCAAGAATTATAGAATAATGTTTTCTCAATATATTTCTCAATTTTATCATTAATATCATAATTTCAAGTAAACATGAAATATGGTTTTTTAGTAATAGAGATTATATATATGAGACACAAGATGGTTATTAAATTATGAAAAATCAATTTTCATTTTTACGATTCCCAAGGAATATTTGTACTTTTTTTTAAAATGAAATGGAAGAATTGAAGTCATCTTCATATTATTCAATATTCATTATGAGTTGGTTAAATATAAATTAAATATACTGACATCAATTTGACTCATATATACGTTTTTATCTTTTTGAAACTTGATGCTTATTGTAAAAGTAATTAAGCAAATAATTAAAAAGGAAAAAATGTGTTGTTCTCTTGGGTGAAAATAATTAAATTTTAATATAAGTTTTGTTTTCATAACATGAACACCATCGTATTTTCACATCTATCTTAGATCATAATCTCATTTCTGTAATAAGAATCCAACACTGCTGTCAGAAAAACATCATTACCACCCAGAAAAAAAATAAATAAATAAATAAATAAAGGTTTAAAACATTTACCTCCCATGAAGTATCCGAAATTTTTTAGGTCTAAAAGTAGACATATTATACAAACACCTTCCCTATCGTCGTTTTGGCTGTTAAAACTAACGGCTTGAAGAATAAAAAAATAATCAACTCTGTAATAATGATTTAATTAAAAAAAAAGTGCTTTGAAAAATGTTCCGTAACCATAGACTTACTATATTCAATTATTAAAAAGTATTTATTTATGAAAAAAATCTGTTTTATCTATTTTAATAATGATATAATTTTTCTTTTTTATACTCCCTCTTATTTTATATAAGGATGTTTTATTTTTTCAAATTAAAAGTCGATCCTTGTCTTGTTCTTTCTCCACTTTTCGTTATAGCCTACATCTCCTCTGTCTCTCTCTGTCCTATCTTATCTCTTCCCCTCTTCTCCTCTTTTCCATATTTTTCATCGCCCACTTCTTCTTTCTCTACTCTACGTCTTTGCTTCCATATTCTCTCTCTTTTTCGGAACAAACTTTATCAACTATAAACCATTAAATTGGTTTTTGGCTGACATCAAGTTTCCTCTTCCCCGCAAGGATTTCTTGTTTGGATATCTGACCAATGCTCATGTGTTCTCCAAGTTTGATCTTAAAGCTGGTTTTTGGCAATCGGCAAGGGTATTGTGTTTTCCTTTGATGTGTTTGACAGTGAATTGGTATCTGGAAAACCATTGGGCCCTCAGACTTTACCGGAGGTCAATTCTTCGACTTCAAGAAGCCATGTTTCGCCGAGTTGTTGTGTGGAGTCGAGGGGTTCGAAGGCGTAAATAAGACAAATGTAAATTATTTAAATATGCAACAGGAAAGTTTCCCACTTGCAAAATCAGGAGAAAAAGTTAGGTGGGAGAGACAAAATTTTTTTTTATTAAAAATTGTGTCCAAGCTTAAAAAGACTTTTATATAAAAATGAAGGAAGTATTTCACAATTTATTTTGGGAAATTATATTAAATGACATTGTTTTGGGGTTGAAATTGAAAAAGAGCACATTTAATTTTT